TTTAATTGTTGTTTCATGAAAATAAAAAACAAGATAAAGAAGTTATCGAGAAACATGATGCAAAATATTCATGTTTTCTTGAATAAATAAATGGTACACATCTTTTTTTCTATAGTAATTCCAATTAATGATATATCTCATTTTCAATTCAATGGAAACGCTGATGAAATTGAGATTATTAAATAAACATTTGCTAGTTTTCTAAACAAAACTTATTGTAGAAACATCATAAAAATAATAACGAGACGAAATTTTCAAGTGAAAACATCTCAGTTATTTTTTTATTTCAATAAAGTAATGTTATTTATAACCAGTTTTTCAGAAATCATAATCTATATTCTTGTCTTCTATTTTTAGTGTCAAAAAAACTATCTTCAAAAAAAAAAGACGAAAGTAAAAGAGAAGGCAGATAGTGATAATAGAATTTTTTGAGTCATACTAGTACTTCTGTACAGAATGAATAAAAGCTTGACTATCTCCGTAGAATAGCTCGGATGCTATATGAAAAATTGATTAATAGATATTATGAAATAAGTCTTCGCGATGTCATCGTATGGTCGCATTGGGTTGATTACAACACAAAAGCCTAAAATATTTTAGAGATAGAAAAATTTTCTTATCCGCCTTCATCTTTTAGAAGACTTGATGTTCAATCATGATAAATTTAAGCATTTTATCCAGCTCAGTTAAAAATCAAATAATCTATTGAACAGCATTATTGCTTCCTTCTTTTATCATTGCTGATACTTAGAATGAATGAATTCAAATAGTACCAGCAACTATTGAATCATTACTCAATGACTTGATAGCTATTCATTCGATTTAACATAATGATATGCAACGGTATCCAATGAATTAACTGTGACAAAACCATATTCAAATATATAATTGATAAAAAAAACACCCATATTCGTGATGAACACATTTTATTTGGTTAAGATGGACATATAAAAAGATCACATGAAAAACTTTTTTATTTAGAAATATCATTTGAAAATTAAATTGATATTGCTTGTAATAATATTTCAATACGATTGAATGAAGAAAAATCACAATGGAATATTTAAATCAATGCAAGAGATCATCCATAAAAGACGATAGGGTGAAAATAGAATGTTTTAACCTCTTGTGTCTAGCGTAGAAAGAAACAGCTTTCTAAACGAAGTCTGTTTATGCATATACATCACTTCATTTTCATTAATTAACAGTTCATTCAATTAATATATGAACGATAGTAATGAATAAGCACACATTTCATTAATCACTAACAAAAATATAACAGATTGCTAAGTTTTAAGTTTTTATAAATACATTGTATGTTAATGAGTTCAGAGCAGTAAAACAATGAAATTCAATAAGAATAGCACTCGAAAAGCTCATATAAATGCTTCACAAAATAGCTATTTATCCATGTAGCATAATCTTGAGTTATTTTAACACTATATTTATATTCATCTGATTCTTTCAGATCACTTCCTATTTAAAAAATACACTTCAAAATAACCGAAGCTTGAAAATTTTGCCGAAAACTGTTTGAAAAGAAAAGAAAATATTTCTAGTACATGTCTAGACGTTCAGAAATATTTGATATCCTCTCCTTTACCTAGACGTCCTGTATAATTGACCCGCAATATGTTGTGAAAGTAGCCGAGCATTACGAAATGAGCTTGTCCACGTAAAACGTTATTCCTTCACGCTTTGTGTGCTTCATTACGTACAAATGACTCAATGTCTAGAATCGAATGTTTTGGCGGTTTTGGCCGAGAAATTGTGCTTTTCAAAATGAGATATTGCAAAGCTGCCCATGAATTTTCATTCACTACAAGCAGAACGTGACGGAATAACCCCTTCCGTAGGCAGGCTCAAATCGTATTTTTAGCCATTCTAAAGTTTAATGGTTCTCATTCTATAATTTGTCTTTATTCTTTTTTTTTTTTTTAATATTTTTTTCGTTACACATAAAAGACAAGATCAGATATAGTTGACAATCTACATATTAAACATTAATTAGAACATAATGATAAAGATAAACAGATGCACAGCTAGACTTTAGATAAAAAAGAAAGACAAGAGACAAAAACACCACACATGCATAATCCCTTGAGAGAATTTATAACATTTAACGGGGTCGAACTGAACCGCCACGAACAATTGATGAAGCTCGCATAACAGTTGATTCACGTATTTCACGCTAAAAAAATTGTATTCAAAACTATTTTTATAGGAGAACAGAAACAACAATTTAACTTACGCCTGGTGAAGCTCGGCTTACACTAACAGATGAACGACTTTTAGCACGTAATTTGCCTAATTGATTTTCAGCAATATCGGCACGTTCAGCTGAATCCTCTATAATAGTTATAATAAAAATCAAGTAGAAACAAAATATTATTTATTTTTAAATTTTCATACCAAGTTCTGTTTGAACTTTACGGAATTTAGCCAAATTGAGTGCAGCAATTTCCTCTAAAAAAAAAACAAAATAATGATTGATTACTAATTTTCGAAAATATGTGTATACAAACCAGCTTCTTCGACTTGTCGTTTATAAACTTTGATTTTGCTTTGTAATTTTTCTGTAAGATCTTGTAAACGTAATTGATTTTTACGATCTTCTTCAGCTTGAAATGCTAATTCTTTTAATCGTCGATCATTCTTACGTAATTCTTTCAATGTTTCTTGATGACGATGTTGTTCTAATTCAATTTCACTTTCCAATTCATGAATCTAAATTATGAAAAGAATTCTTTGAGTTTCCTTTTTTGTTATTTCTTCTTTCATCTACATACACGTTGTTCAAGTTTAGCGATGATACGTTTTCCACCTTTAAGTGCATTAGCTTCAGCTTCATCAAGACGTGCTTGAAGATCTTTAATTTGTTGTTCAAGACCTTTACGAAGTCTTTCAACTTGTATTGCATGTTCTTGTTCTTGTCGTAATTCTTCAGCAAGACGAGCAGCATCAGCAGCTAAATAAGGAAAATATTTGTTTTTCAATATTGAACCTGTGTCTATTTAAGAAAAATATAAGAAAAAAAACTAACCAGCTTTCTTGGCACGTTCTTCACTATTTTTAAGTTCAGCAACAGCTTCATCTAAATCAGCTTGCATAGCAGCAACGCTGGCTTCTAATTGTCGTTTTTGTGATGATAAATTAGCATTTAGTGTGCTTAATTCACTAATACGATCAGCTGCATCATTCAATTCATTTTCAGCTGCACGACGTGCACGTTCAGCTTGTTCTAATGCTGTACGTAATTCTTCGAGTTCACCTAGTATAAGATTAACACGACGTTCAGCAGCGGCAGCAGCTTCACGAGCTTCATCACGTTGTCGTTGTTCATCTTCAACTTGTTGTTGTAATTCGGTGACTGTTTGTTGTAATTTCTTAAGTGCTTTTTGTAAATCTGCATTGCTACGATTGGCATGATCAAGAGCAATTTCAAGTTCATTGATATCCGATTCAAGTTTCTTTTTCTAGAAAAATTAGAAAATAAAAATTCGATTAACAAAAAAGTTAATATTTTTCTTTTTTTTTTCTCGCACCTGTTTAAGTGCTTCAGCTTTAGCTCTTGTTTCAGCTTCTAAACTTGCTTGCATTGATTCCATTGCACGAGCATGATTACGACGTGTATTTTCAAATTCTTCTTCCTTTTCATGTATACGACGATCGATTTCTTGACGTACTGTACTTAATTCCATTTGAGCACGAAGAACTTTAGCTTCTTCTTGTTCAAGTGCAGCTTCAGCTTCTTCTAATGCACCTTGTAATTCTTCTTTTTCCATTTCAGCACGTTTACGAGCTTTATCCAATTCATGAAGACTCTTTCCACCTTCACCCAATTGATCCATAAGATCCTTAAAAACAAAAGAAGAATTTTAATTTATACTGAATGAGTATAAAATAATTTTTTTTTACTTTAATTTCTTCGGCCAAATTTTTGTTTTCTTTACGAAGTGCTTCAATTTGTTCATGTGATTCTTCATATTGTGTTTTAAGTTTAAATAATTCTGTTGAATAATGACGTGCTTCTTTTTGTGATGCTTCAAGTTCAATTGTTATATCTTCACATTTTTGTTTCCATTCATTAATTAACTTATCAAATTGTTTCTGTTTCTTGTCCATGGCAGAAGCATCTTAATAGAAAGGAATATTTTAGTTTTCTTTTCTTTCAAAATATAAAATTAACTTACTAGCATTAGCACGTTCAACATCAACCATAAGATCTTCTACTTCACCTTGTAAACGAGCTTTAACTTTTTCTAAAGCATTGCATTTGGATAATGCTGCTTCAACTTGTTCTTCAGCTTCTGTTAATTTGGCTGCTAATTTACGTTTAGCTTCTTCAAGTTCTTCAGCACGAGCCAAGCCTGAAACAATGAAACAATATTTCTTTTGATTTTTGAATTACTAAGTGTCATAATGAACAGGAAAAATTGTTATAGAATATTATAGGATAAAGTTTTTCTCTACATATCTTAAAAACTATTTCAACATTGAATCAGCTAAAAATTAGCTTTGAAATAGATGATAATTTCAATCATGTTTTAATGTTTGTTTTCAATATCATATTACTAAGGTAAATATAATTAAGGAAAAAAGATATATATATATAATGTATTTCAAAAGTTTTGTATTTGGGTTTTGATACTACTCAACTATAGAATAATCTTAAAGACATTTTTTTTTTGCAGTTAAAGTTTTAAGTCAATCAGTGTGCATGGCAAAATGCATTTATGAAGAGTTCGAGTTGTTCGAAAAGAAGAACTCAATTGTGAACGCTAAAAATGTCAATTAAAATGATCTGTTCTTTTCTAGTCTAATATACATTAATGATTTCTCTCTTTCTTCTCATCAAACAAAATATTCGATATTCTCTGTGTTATGATTTCAGTTTAACTTTCCAACTTTAACATTTATCTATGAGAGATTTTTATGAAAAACAATAAAACATACCTTCAGATTCATAACGTGATCTCCATTGTTGAACTTCTGAACCGAGTTTAGCAACTTGTCGTTGAAGATCGGCTTTTCCTTCTTGTTCTTCTTCAAGTTGTTCACGTGCTTGATCAAGATCAGCAGATAAATTACGTAATTGAGCAGCTAAAATGAAATGAATATAATAGGTAACGAAAATCTTAAAATATAAATGAATTTTTGAACACTTACTGATTGCACTTTTACCACGTAATTCTTCTTCTAACGCACGTTTAGCTTCATCAGCTTGTTGTTGTAATGTAATTTTCACTTTTTGTAATGAACTAACTTGATGTTCAAGATCTTCAATTTGCTTAACTAAATCTGAATTTTCTGAAATTAATTTTGTTCTTTGACCGGATAAATCATTAATTTGTTTGAAGCTATCATCAAGTTTAATTTGTATTTCACTTAATTGTTGTTCAAGTTGTTTCGAAAGTTTTTCAGCAGCTGCTTTACCTTTTTGTGCATGATCCAGTTGTGCACGTAAATCATCAAGTTCAGATTTAATGTTTTGTTTTTCTTTTTCTAATTTATTTTTTAATTTTTGTAATTGATCAATTTGTTCACCCATTTCTAAAATGAAAAAGACAATAAACATTAATACTTAACTAGAATGAAAAAAAAGCTCCTAACACAATCTCTGTGGCATTAAAATGTGAAACATAATATATTTGCGGTTGCTAATCACAGGGAGATTGCTTTATTCTATCTCTTTTGAGATACATTCCTTCATCATCCTTTAGCATTGCAACAAGGAAGTAACTTATATTATAGAACAAGACATTATTGTTATACAGTCTTTGATCGTATATTAATCACGTCTTTTACAGTCTGTGATAGTTGCTGACTAGTGTCTGTTATCGTTTGGAGAAATCTAACTGTTTACTTCCATATTTGAACAGTTCATTTAGATGGTATCTCAAAAAACAACAACAACAACAAATATTTACCATTAACAGCATCTTGATGTTTCTTTCTTAATTGTGCAGCTGTTGCTTCATGTTGAAGATTAGCTTCTTCTAAATCACGACGAAGTTTAGCTAATTCACTTTCACGTTTCTTATTCATTTCAACTTGTGCTGTTGTAGCACCACCAGCTTCTTCTAATCGATCGTGTACTTCATCAAGTTCTCGTGCTATATCAGCTCGTTGTTTTTCTGTTTTCGTTCTAGATTGTCGTTCATTTTCAAGTTCTTCTTCTAATTCTTCAATACGTGCTTGTAATTCTTTAATTTTCTTGCCAAGACTTGATGCTTGTCCTTGTTCATCTTCAAGACGGCTACCCATTTGTTGAATTTCTTGTTCTTTACGTTTAAGAGCTTCTTCTAATTCACGTTTGGATTTTTCTACATCTTCAAGTGTACCTTGTAATGATTTAAGATCTGTTTCTAATTTACGTTTTGATTTATCTAAATCAGCACGAGCTTTCTTTTCACGTTCTAAACTATCTTCTAATTCATCTAATGTTTGTTCAAGTTTTGATTTAAGTTTGTTCAAATGATTAACTTTATCTTCTTCAGCTTGTAATTGTTCACTTGTTTTAGCATTTTGTTCTTCAAGTCGTTTACGTTCACGTGTTAATTTAGCAATTGTTTCATCTTGTTGTGCCATCTCATCTTGTAATGTGTGAATTTGATTATCACGTGTTTTACATTCATTTTCTGATTTTTGTAAATTCAAACGCATATCATCAATATCTTTCTTTAAACCATCAATATCATGTTCAAGTTTTTTTCGTTTATTATTTAATTCAGCTGAAACTTCTTCTTCTTCAGAAATACGATCTTCCATATCTTTAACTTGTTGTTCAAGATCAGCCTTTTGTGTTACTATTCGTTGAAGACGTTCTTCAGCACCAGCTGTATTTGCACGTTCAGCCTCCAATTGTACATACATATCATTTTTTTCTTAATACAAAAATAAAAAAGAAAATAATTAAAAAGAAAACTAATGAATTTAAATATATCAAATACCTTTAATTAATTTAGCATTATTTTCTTCAGATTCTTTACGTAATTTTTCTTCTTTTTCAAAAGCTTCTTTAAGTGCTTTATATTCATCTTCAAGTTTTTTCATTTCTTCTTCTTGTCTTGCAACAGATAATAATGGTTTAACTTTTGTATATAATTTCCACCATGGCCAATTACGTAATGATAAATATTTACGAAGATTACGTTGTAAAACTCCTAATGCTAAACGTTGATCTAACATTTTTCTATAGTCTTTACGCATAACATAACCACGAATTTGTGCTTGTAATGTTGCAATAATTTTTGATAATGCAACATCACGCATATCTTCAAGTTGACCTAAGACACCAGCTTTAAAGAATACTTTAGTTATACCTAATCGATATAATTCATCAGATAATTGAATCTCTTTGAGAATATTTTCTGTTGCTTTTTTAGCATCAACAAATCCTTTTGGTATAGCATTGGGAGCCAATATTGAATAACGTTGTTTAAATTCAGAATAAATCATACGATTTGGAAAGCCTTTACGACAAATACGAATACCTTCAAGTACACCGTTACAATGGAGTTGATGAAGAACCAAATGTGAGTCAAGTATGCCACCAGTTTTAATTTCATTCGGAATAATACAACGAACGAAGTGTGGATGAGTTTGTCTCAAGTTGGTCATCAATTTGTTTAATTGTTCCTGAAAAATAAAGTATTTCTTGCAGTTAAAGAAGAATCAACATATATTTTATTAGATATTAGTAACCGCTTATAAAAATTTCCATATTTTCTACTGTGTCTACTTTTTCATTCAGATTACAATAAGTAAATACTACTAATTTGTATTGTTGCTAATATTATGAAAATAATTTAACTTTTTATCAAATAAAAAACAATACATCAGTATCGTTTCATAGATCATTTTCAGTTGTTATCTAAGAGAATAATAAGAAAAACTCAAAACAAATTTTATCAATGATACTATATTGATGCACATAGAGCAGCTTTTTAGAATCAGTTAATTTTAAAGTTAACGATTACAAATTTTGAATTTTCGAACCTGAAACGCTGATTTTTGCACACAAGTCGTTATTTTAGTACTTCAAAGGGCTGTAATAGTATGTTTTACTTAAAGTTCGTTTTGATTTCTTATTTTTCTCCTAAATGACAACTGAAAATTATTGATAAATCACTTTATAGGTAATTTTTTACTTGACCATTGGTGAACATTTTTTTAGAGATAGTAAATATATAACTTGCCAGTAGTCTTTGTTGACGTTTTTCATATGAAAAAAAAACTTCACATAAATTTCTACTATTAATCAAAACAAATCAGCCCATTCCAGTGAATCAAAATGTCAATATTTCAATTTTTTTATTTTAGTGCTATCTGTAGCTTATCCTACATGTATTGTTAAAACTATTCAGGTTGCTTTAGGACGCTTATGCGAGTGCGTTTCACAAACAGTGGTTCTTTCAAAATATTTCGAAGTATTTAGATGCTTTATCCCCTACATGAGAAACTTATCAATGGATGCTTCAAATTCAACTATAACTCATATGTATGATAAATCTGTTGCAGGTGATTATCATCGTTTTAAAAAAAGTTAATTAAACATCATTGTCTTTGAACTAGAAGTTAGTTTTCAATCAAAGTATGAGGTTAAAAACCCGTATGGAGTTGAGCTCATCAATTCGACACATTCTTCTCCATTTGTAATTTCTCAAGAAATTTTGTTTAAAAGTTAACTTCTCGAAAATAAGAAACTAAGTCGATGTAAAATTTAGTATTGCACCAAACTAATCAATCTTTAGCACTGATATTTGATTTTTTAATTACTGAAAGAAAAGACAACTTACACGATGAGTAGCTGAAATAGTTTGCATACTGCCACCTTTCTTCTTGAAACCAGTTTTACCACCAGCAGCACCACCACCTCCTTCTTCTTCGGCAACATCAGCAAACAAAGTACTTAACATGGCATTCTTCGATTTAGCAAAGAGAAGAGCACTAAGAAACAAATAGAATATCAATAGAAGAAGTAAAAATAAAATTTTTTTTGAACATACACAGTAGTATTAATAGGATCCTTATTCTTTTCAAGCCAACCAGTTGCTGTATATGGAACAGAACCAGCGTAATGATGAATTTCAAAATTTGCTTCTGCTTTGCCTTTAGCTGGTTTTGGTTTACCGAATTGTGGATGTTTACCCAAATGATTATTATAAAGTTTTTCAACAAATGTTTTGTCTGTTGCTTTTGGTACGATACATTCTTCTTCAAGAATTGATAAAATACCCATAGGCTAAAATTAAATAAATATACTAGCATTGAAATAATGATATAAAAATCTTACTTTCTCAATGAGATCAATACAAGCTTGTAAATCCATACCAAAATCAATAAATTCCCATTGAATACCTTCTTTCTTATATTCTTCTTGTTCTAAAACGAACATATGATGATTGAAGAATTGTTGAAGACGTTCATTGGTATAATTAATACACAATTGTTCGAATCCATTGTACTAAAATTTGCATAATAGAATTACAAAAATTATAAAAAAATCAATTAAACATTTACATCAAAAATTTCAAAACCAGCAATATCAAGTACACCAATAAAATATTGTCGTTTAGCTTTAACATCGAGTGTTAAATTGACACGCTCGACCAACCAACAAAACATACGATAATAAATCTAAAAATAAAAGCCAAATTAATTAATTATTTTAAGATATAATTTAATTTTAAAAGTCATTAAAGAACATACCGATTTCGAAAGAGCACCGATTGAGTTCACAACTTGATCTTTATTTTGTCCTTTGTTAACATATTCATTACCGACCTATATGAAAATTTAATATTAAATAAATAAAAGTTAAAAGACAAAATAATACTCTACTTTTATACGTGGTTTGAGTAAACCTTTGATAAGTTCAGCTGCTTCCACACCGAGAAGATGTGCAACCTTCTCACAATCTTCTGTAGTATCAGCTTCGGCTTGTTCTTCACGAGGTCGTTGTTTCCATTGACTATTACCAAAATGCATTATAGCTGCTGTACATTTGTACATATTAAGTTTTTCTTCCTGTTATTTAAAAAAATAATTCTTTTTGTTAGTTTATCATTAAATTCTAAACAAACAAACCTTAGTAAAACCAAGAATATCGAAAGCGTCATCAGTAATTCTCATTTCTTCAGCATCATCAACATTATCAATAGTCAAAACACCTTGAGATACATAATGATATTTTCCTGGATCATTAACAATAAGACATTCCTCTGAAAAATGAACATTTTCGATTTATACTTGAAATTTTCTCAATAAATCTCACTATGATAATCTGGAAAAGCATTTGAACACAATTGATAGAAAATATGATAGTCACGTTCAGCTATAATGGATAATTAATTAATTCAGTTAGAAAAACAATGACGGATAAAATTTCAAATCAATATAGTACCTGGTTGCTAAAAAAAAAGAAATAAAAAACAATAATTTACAAAATGATATTTTTAGAATAATCGTTCATACTTGAAAGATAACACGAGCTTTTTCAAGTAAATATACTTCAATATCAGCACCAGCAATTTTGCCTGAGCTACCAAAGTGAATTCGAATAAATTTACCCTAAAAGAACAAGTAAATCAAAAAGAAATAAATATCTATTTTTGTATTTCATCATTGAATAACAAATGAAAACATATTTATACTAGAAAATTTGTTTTACATAAAGTAATATTAAGATGAATATGCCAGAAAAATCTGTTAACATAACAGTTAATTTATAGAGGAAGATTTTGTTTAATCTTTTTTTGTGTTATTCAATTCATTCGCTTACAAATAGTGGTGAATTAGTTTTTCGTACTATTTTAGCATTACTCAATGCTACAAGTTCATGAATGTTTTAAAAATTTGTTTCTTAAGTATAGCACTAGTAATATAATGCAATTGTAGATTCATAGATTACTTAAAATATGAAAGAATTGTTTTCATATGCTTTAAGATAAATAATATATGCTAATATTATTAAAAATAATAATCATGTTAAAACAGGTATGGCAAAACATGCAACAATTGAATATAATTCTTTATTTTAACTTACGAATCGAGATGAGTTATTGTTACGAGTTGTTTTAGCATTACCGAAAGCTTCAAGTACAGGATTCGATTGAACGATTTGATCTTCGAGAGTCATTGATTTCTATAATGAAAAAAATATCCGATGAACATGCATTTATGAATGTATATTTTTCATCAAAGCTATACAATAGACGAATAACATATGATAGTGTAGAGTGAATTAGAACAATATTGTGATTATATAGGTCAATATCATGGAATAGCAACCCTTTAAGACTCACATCTTCTCTGTCAGAAACTTATTCTTGCTTCAGAACAACTAATCTGATTGAAAATTATAAACAGAAACTGATCCAAAATATAGAGCTGTTCATGAGCTATCATAACCTCAAAGATCAAAAAGTAGATCACTACGTGATATGGATTTCTTCTCCAAGTTCAATAATACAGATTACTTGTTGGTATTAGATTGCAGCTAAGACCTATTGCTATAACTTAACTGAGTGAAAAATATTTCCAAATATTGTTTCTTTATTCATGATGAAATTTTCTTTCAAAATCTCCGAAAATCAGAGTGTGCCTACGAAAAAACATTGATTGTTTTCCAAAAGCTAGTCGAAAATAAAAATTCCAGATTTGTTAAGCTATAGAGTGCAATTTTCTGTTCCATTAAAAACCTTCTCGAGTTTTCTAGCATGTAAAATAGCCGAGAAGCCTTTGATACAAAGACAGACAAAACAGTTAAATCTACTTTGAGAAAAACACGAAAGTTTGGTTCGTATTTTTACTCAAGCTTCTTTCTTAATCAGACGCTATAGAAAACAAACTGTGAAAAAACATAGTAAAGTCAATAAATCATATTGTGTTCGAAAGTAGAAATTAATCGTTATCCAACCGCTTCAAAAATCTCAAAATGAAATTTTTTGATGAAAATCGCGATTTCTGACAGGAAGCTGAGCCAAGGGGGAAAAGGCATACTTCTGTACTTCTTGTACTTCTTCGTATTTCTCCGTACTTCTCGGTGCTTCTTGTACTTCTTCGTATTTCCTGGTACTTCTCCGTACTTCTCCGTACTTCTTGAGACTTCTTGAGACTTCTCGGTACTTCTCGATACTTCTTGATATTTCTCCGTACTTCTCGATACTTCTTGATATTTCTCCGTACTTCTCGATACTTCTTGATATTTCTCCGTACTTCTCGGTACTTCTGTTCCCAAAAACAGAACAAAAATGTTCTGTTATTGGGAAATGGCAAAAATTCTGTTCACAAAAACAGAACAAAAGTGTTCTGTAATTGGGAATTCCCAATTACAGAACACTTTTGTTCTGTTTTGGAGTAAAACTCATAGGGGAAAACACGTACTTCTTTCGTACTTCTTTGTACTTATCTGTACTGCTTTGTACTTCTCTGTACTTCTTGGTACTTCTGTATACTTCTTGATACTTCTTGGAACTTCTCGGTACTTCTTGGTACTTCTTGATACTTCTTGGAACTTCTCGGTACTTCTTGGTACTTCTTGATACTTCTTGGTACTGTTTGATACTTCTTGGAACTTCTCGGTACTTCTGTACTTCTGCGTACTTCAGAGATACAGAAGTTTGCCTTTTCCCCCTTGAGCTGAGCTTTCAATGGTATGACAAAACTATTTCGATGTGATTAATGTATAATATTAAAACAACGGTAATAGTGTATACGATCAAATCTAATTTTGTGGTTGAATGAACGAATTCCAGATTACAATTTCAAAAGAATTATATAGTTCTTAATGGTATATCTTATTGTTAGAAAAGAAGATCAATATAACCAGTGAATTCTTTTGTAGAGTGATGAGTATTAAAAGTAAACTTAAAATACATTACTTTTCCTTCTTCTTTCTTAGCACTAGCAGCAGCAACCAAAGCAAAATATTGAATGACTTTTTTGGTGTTTTCTGTCTTTCCAGCACCTGATTCACCTGTGATTAACATAGATTGATTTTCACGATCTAAACAAAATGAACCGATGCTATCAAAGTCAAGTTTTTCTCTCATTATTTTTTATATTAATAAATATCCTTCATTTCCATTTTTCAATATTTATTTCCATTTTTTTTTTTATTTTATTTTGATTTAAGAAACAATTTTCTTTGTAAATTCTATGACATAATTATTCTTGTCTTTTCTTATTTTATGACTTTCTATATAACACTTATCATGTAGATAATTAGGCCTTGTCAATCAACATTCTGTCAACAGTCAACAACCTCTTCTCATTAATAAATTTTTATCGTTCTTGATGAATATAAAATTGGTTGTACTAGCAGTGATTGCATATCGGACCATTTTAGGAGATGCTTCTTTTAGTTCTTGTTTCTTCTGTCATATATCTCCTTTATCTTTCTAGTGCTTGTCCTCTTATAGTGTTGAAATAGTGTTCTTGTTGATAGGTGGTGGATAATCTAACGATCTTTTCTCCTATACAGTCTATACAATTATAAGTCAAATAATCTGTGATACTGATTCTAGACTTTCAAGTATAGAAAGTATCATTAATTTAGTCTATTGCTCACACGATATTATCATTTGAAACAAGAAAAAAACGATGATATTTAATATATATTTTTTTACTCACCACGAAGCATATTTGAATATGCATTATCAGAAATAGCGAATAAATGTGGTGGTACTTCGGTACGTTTTTTGCCACGATACATAAGTACTGCCTTTATGGTATAAATTGGTAAACGTTTGTATGGATTGATGGCAACACAAAATAAACCTGAATAGGTCTAGAAAAATGAAAGAATTTTTAAAAAAAGGAATAAAAAAAAATATTAGATAAAATATTATGACACATACATAAATGAGCCATCGTCCATAACGATCACGTAAATTATGTAAGACAGAAGCATCATTTAAATAAGTTAAATTGGCCATATCATCGCAGCAAGTAAATTTAGGTGGATTCATTTGTTGAATATCATCTTTTTTAAATGTAAGGTTCTAAATAAAATATTACATAAAAAATGTACATATTTGTTTTCTATGATTTTTTAGAAATTCACATACATCTCCTTTAGCTGTTTTGACTGTTACTTCTTCACCTTTTGTGCCAGTAATTTCACCAGCAACGAATGATTCTTTTGGATCTGGCACCCAACATTGCTTTTTACCATCGAATGGTTGAGCTTGAAGTTTGATACGTTCTTCAGTTGGTATCGTTAAATATGTTAACGTTTCTTTTAATTCCGGATCATTTGGATCAAAAACAACACTATAAAGAAAAAAATTTTATCATACTATCTCATTTCTAATATAATTCTTACCCTTCGATCGACATTATTGTTTTGAAGAATTCTGTTTAATTAAATACAATACAATTTATAATATAAATTATTTCCTATTCTTTAAACCTTACTAATAGATTTTTGTGTCAAGCTTTGTCAACTTGATGTATGCAACGTTCGTAGTTCAACTTATGCGAAACACTTGTTCTGTTAAATAACAAGGGATTATATAGCTTCTTTGTTGGTGGTCGAGAAAAAAAACGATTATTGATAGGAAATAGATCTATTTTCTCTCTTTTTCTCTCTCTCTTACTAAATACATAAATATACTTTCCGTGGTTGGCTAAACTAAACTGGATAGATGTCCAAAATTGGCACTAGTATTTGCTAGACGGACAACAATCATTCACTCGTTTTCCTTTTCTTGCTCTATCGGTGATTGAAAGTAACAGAAATTTCAACGCTGATTATATAACAATAATAATGAATATCTAGAAAAACTTACTTATAGAAAAGAAAAAAAACTTCATCGATACATCTTTCTTTCCACATATGATATTTATGAAAATGTACAAAACAAGTAGCTGATAAATTCTTCAGATGTAGAGTAAAAATTAAGTGCAATGAATCCACATTGTACATTTATGGTATGAACAACCAAACAGACAGCAAAGAATGCTTGTTGATATCTTATCTCTATTCAATAATCATTTCATAGGGACATGGATTTTTGTCATTGGTTTAATTGAATTGAGCGAACATTTTAATATTTTTTATTTATTATTGTTTTATCGTAGAGAAAATATACTAGATAGTACTATCAAATACAATATGAATGTCTTACATAATAAAAAAGTATATGAATTTATTTTTACGTCAATGTATTAAAGCAGAAAAGCCAAGCTATAAGCTATAGAATAGATCAAAAAGTATATTCAAGATTAAGTAAATGAATTATAGATACAAATGTAGATGATAAAAGCCTCCCACTATCATAGGCAAGTGTATCAGATAGAAAAATTCAATTAACTGTTATTTATATCAATTATTCTATTAATTATTAACATAAAATATTAATAGAGAAAACTACAAAATGCATTACACTCTAATTTATAATCCAAATAATTGTCTTTCGCTATCCTAAATGAAAATAGAGTTCGTTAATTATTTATTAATGTTATTTAAATGATCTGGTCTAAATATCATCAAATAAAGCCAATAATATGCTTTTTTTTAAAGGTCAATCTGAAGTCTATTTACAGAACTTTATATGCAACTATTTAATCAATCATTATAAGTGCCAGTTGTGCTTGAAGCGATCATAGCAATTGGTTCCATTAATCATTTTTCACCAAGGATATGCTTCATGTATCTATAAATGAAACCTGGAAGACATATATTAGCTTTCTAATATTATTCAAAAGAAAATAGCGAATTTAATTTGAACAAGTTCCGAAACTTGTTAAGAATAGTTTTAATTTTTATAATTATTAGTCTTTGTAACAAACTGTAGTTGAATGTCAGCCTACAGTGTCGAATATTTTCTATTTACTTTCACATAATAAGCTGTACCAGTGTTGATGACATGATAGACATATTAGCCACTTGCGGTTTTTTTTCTAATTTTGGTGATGACATGTAAATGACCGAAGACAGATCAATGAAATATATACCCTTACTATGCTTAAACTACTCTCTGACTTGCAATAAGTTAGATATTAGCTAGGAATATTGACAATAACAGATTATTCGCATATAATATTTCATACAAATAATATCCATGTCAATGTCACATACACATTTTATATGAATCGAATTAGAAAATTAGACTATGTGGATATTCTCATATAGAAACAAGATTATCTCCATACATAGATATGTGACATATTCGTTATTATTTACTAGAAATGTCAAATTAGCACTATTTCTAGAATCATGCAAATGCTTTAGTCATTAGTATTAAAACTAATCTTAATTTGTTTTCGTATTATTTGCATTAGAATAATTAATCTCAAGCTGTTAGTATTAAAATAACATTATTTTTGATCATAATACATATGGTACCTGAATCTATACCTCTGAAACTTCAACTTTGAAAGCTTTCGATAATAAAACAAAAGTTTTTAATACTCGGAAGAGTTCTTTTTTCACAAAGAGCCCAATAGTGTTCAGTTTTGGAGACTTCTATGTTTAGAATATTCAAAATCCAATCATCAGAAATCTATATAGTATTAGAATTAAAATAATTCTAATTGCCTAGCATTAATTAATTCTACTGCAAATAATACCAAAGCACTAAGATCAATTTTAATACCAATGTTTATTCTAATATAGGGATGTGCAGTATCAGTATACTGACCACCGATAAAATCACACTGGCGTTCACCGATACGGTGACGGCACTGACACTGAGCGCACTGTCTGCAATGACACACTGTCACTGAGCGAACTGTCTGCAGTGACGCACTGACACTGAACGAACTGTCTGCGGTGACACACTGACACTGAGTGCACTGTCTGCAGTGACACACTGACACTAAGCGCACTGTCTGCAGTGATACACTGACACTGACCGCACTGTCTTCAGTGACATACTGACACTAAGTGCACTGACTGCAGTGACACACTGACACTGCGTACCACTGGAGCGTTGAAGACACTGGAGCACCGACGTTTACTGATATGCCAGACTTATCTACATCAATAAACGTCGGTGCTCCAGTGTTTTCAAGGCTCCAGTGGTACGCAGTGCCAGTGTGGTCACTGCTCCAGTGCACTCAGTGTCAGTATGTCACTGAAGGCAGTGCCGTCAGTGTCAGTGTATCACTGCAGACAGTGCGCTTAGTGACAGTGTTTCACTGCAGTCAGTGCACTCAGCGTCAATGTGTCACTGCGAACAGTTCCTTCAGTGTCAGTGCCTCACTGCAGACAGTTCGCTCAGTGACAGTGCGTCACTGCGGACAGTTCGTTCAGTGTCAGTGCGTCACTGCAGACAGTGCGCTCAGTGTCAGTGTGTCACCGTCAGTAATTCACTGTTTTCACCGAAACTGCACATCCCTATTCTAATACGACACTCTCTCATGATTACTGTAATATATTGATCTATTTTCTGGAATAGATAAAAGTAGCTATGCTATTCAAAACCTAATTTATTATTAAATGAATTCGAAATAAATATTAGCGCACGAATACTTTTGGTATAACATTTGATTATTGTGTTTTTTTTTTGTTCTTTAAGTTTTCACATATAAAAAGAAAAAAAAATATGTTTTTATTAAGTTTAATAGTATTTACCAATTTATTTCTAATACCTATTTTGTTTCATCCATTTAATGTTTGTCGACATTTTATTCATATTGGTCATGAACCATATCACGGTGAATATCTTAAAATTGATTCATATGAATCCTATTTATACAAGATAATAGAAAATCCAAAATCTTACATTCATATTTCTCCATCAATTAAATCTGAAAATATTTTTCAACGATTATTTAATATTCTATTTAAAACAAATAAGAATTTATCTAAGAAAACTTATTATCCAAATTTAATAAGATATACTAAAATGTATATATATGAACATGATTTATCACCATTTATTCAATCATTTTTAACAATGTATATTTCTTATTTTTTATTGACTTACTTTTCATCACTTGTTCATGTTTATCGAATATCATTTAAAACTGAACAAAAATCTTTGAGTGACATTCGTTATCGTGCCCAACAATTAATAGAATCAACTTATATACGATGGATTATTCATGCTTTATATTGGAAATTTATTGGTATTATTATTTCACATTTTTTTTATGTTATGTCTGTAAAAATTTTAATGCAAAGATTATTTATTTCTTATGAACATTTTCATCTTAATCAAGATTTAATTTATAGTTCGTGGAATTTTCAAAAGAATATAAGATTAATTTATATATATGAAGGATTGCAAGTTTTTTATAGTGGTATTTTATCACGATTGATTTATGAACTTGGTAAATGATAATAGAAAGAAAATGATTGTGTTTTCGTTTCATTTCATTGAATTAATAGTAATTAAGTTTAGTTATAGCATTTGATTATTCAGTAATCTTTAATAAATATTATAGATGCATAACTCATAAATCAATTTTAATATTATCAGGAGAACTGTTGAGGTTTTATAAAGTATGATAAAAATTGATTGTTATAAGCAAGAGACTTAAATACAGCAACCATTTCAAATCAAATTAAGAAAATTAGATCAACCTTTCTATTGTAAAACATGTATAAGTTCAATTATGTTTTATGACTTGTATTCGAAACTATTATAGATAGAATAATAAAAAAGTATTTATTTTGTTAAGTTTTTGCGTATGTAAAGATGATAATCGAGAAATGTATCTTTTTTTTGCTTATCAAATATTTGGTTGGCTGTAGAAAGGCCAAACACATGGGAAAATATCGAATAGACACATGTAGAACAGAAAATAGATCGAACCTATAAATATATTGGCAGAGATAGTCGAGTGTGATTGAGAGCACTGTAACCTGTCGGTCTGGTATCCATATCTGGCTACAGATGTGACAAGTAACGAGTCGTGACAGACACAATCTTCATTTATAACTGTATGACTCATAAAAAGTTTGAAAAAAATGTGTTTCTAATCCGGCTTTTTAATAGCGATATCCTTGATCACATAGTTGATTAGTTGTTGTGTTAATCTATCAGTGAGTTATTAGAGTGATGCAACACACTGATCGGATACCTGTGCAGTACTCTAGTGTTGATGTGGGTTTAGTTTTTTTTCTCATCAGAAGGCTACACACACTAACAACCATCAGGTTTAGGTGTAAGAGTAAAATAAATCAAAACAATTGCTATTCAACGTCATATAGATAGTCTTGGTGCAGAATATCATAGTAGTCTTCTAAACGTAATGAAATATTTACATGGCTTGCCATTTACACTTACTGAATGAAAAAAATGAGGCTTATTTCATTCTTTTTTTTATTTCTTCATTTGCGTGTGATCTATGATAGAATGTTAGTATTATACAAAAAATAAAAAATA